AATCCAGGATATCAAATAGCTAGAAAAATTACTATGGTTGCTAAGATAGACACTTGCATATGATTAAAATAATATTAAAGTGAATAGGACAACAAGGAAGATCACATGCTATACTTGCCTTAAACTTAAATCCTTCTTCTATTGAATTGTAACCTCCAAAGGACTTCTTCTGGATTACCAACTTCTTTTATATCACCAACACAAAGCTCACCGACTGGACATGATCATAAAGCACCACACAAGCATCCATGCAATCATATACAAAGCAAACAATAATACTAAATTAGAACAGTACACCAAACATGATACACAGTAAGTAAAAAGATTTTAAAGATGTTCTACACGTTACTACGAACACACAGACGCGAAAAGCATGCTAATCGGAGCTATAACGAAAAAGTTATGAACTAAACAAGATTTTCTTTAATAAAATAATAGATTAAATTTTAACCTCAAATTTTTAAAGTTGAAAATATATTTAACAGTAGGATGAACATGTAGATTACTCAATTACGAATCTAACGCTACTTGAATGGATCAAAACGGAGTTAAAACGAAGATTTTATGGTCTAAATAAGACTAGTGACAAAACTGTAAATAGATGAAAGCGTATTTTGTATCTAACCGAAGAAACTATGTTTTCAAAAGAAGAAAACGTATTTTGAATCTAATAGAGGGATTTTACGCTTTCTGAAAGAGAAAACGTATTTTGAATCTACTAGAAAGAAACTACGCTTTCGGAATAGGAAAACGTATTCTGAAAGTGCGCTATGAACTGCGGGTTATATTACGTGAAAATGCATGGGCTCTTTTGCAAATAAACCCGGCGAAGGGGTACGGGCGATCTTGGACTGTTGGATTGAATCTAGATGGCCCAGATTAGAAAGGAGGGGAAGAGAGAGTCGTCAACCGAAGAAGAAAACCGACACGGCGGAGCCCCATTGCCGGCAGCGAAAGACTCCTCGAAGCGCTTGGTTTGGTCCTAGAGGCCACGGTTTGACGAGCCGAGAGCACAGGGAATAAGAGAAGAAGACGACGAACTCACCTAGGGCCTTCTTGCGGTCAATGGCGGGTCTATGGCGTCGGGCAGCGCGGCGGCGACGTCGAGAGGAGGAGAAAAATCTAATTTACTACACGAGGGATTTCCCAAACTAGGGGCTCCCCTTACGGTAGTTTTGGTGTGCTTTGCCCAAGGGGTTGGTACATATTTATTGGGAGAAAAACTCCCCACGTCTACATCAACTAGCAATATGGTACTAATTGATGTTACACCCTCCACATTTACTAATAGACCTAAATAATCATTAAAGCCCATTAATAAATAAATGTATGGGCCTTTGAGATTTATTAGGATTATTTCACATGGGCTTTGAGAGTTGGTTGGAAAATGAGATATATTATTTATTTTTGGAATTAATTAATTTCATGAATAAAATAATTCTAAAAAAGTCTAGAATTGATATTTAAGCCATGAAAAATACTCCGAGACCTCCAAAATTTTAGGAAAAATTCCTAGAGACACTTTGAAACATGATGAACCCAAATAAAGTATTTGGAGCTCATGAAAAGATTGTTTGGAACTTAGAACATAAAGATTAAGGTGAAGAAGGTAGGAATTAAATTCCAGAAAGAAGCTAGAAAATTCCTAGAGATAGATATTTGTCTCCTAAACGTATTTAAAAAAATATTTTGTACATAGAAACACAAGGTGCGACCAACATGAATGCAACAAACATGTTTCTACCTTAAGATAAATTTTAATCTAATGAAAATTTATTATTTCCCCATGTTTTCATGAGCATAAAAATACAAAATTAAATCATTTTAGCTCTATTTTAAGATAAACAAATTTTAGGGTGTTACACCATCCTTCTTCTTGTATGACTTATTCTTCTTCTCATCATCATTTTTATCACTTGAGTCATCTTTCTTGCCCTTATACTTCATTTTGTACTTGTCTTTCTTAGGTTTGGGCATTGATGAGCTAGATGACCAAGTTTTCCATAATTATAGCAATCCATTTCAGAGACGGGCTTCCTTCTATTACTAGTGAAGAATTTCTTCTTCTTGCCGTCAAACTTAACACCATTCTTGTTTAGCTTCTTGAGCATCTTGATAGTTCTTTTCACCATGAGAGCAAGACTTGCATCATCAATCTCATCATCACTTGAGCTATCATGATCAACTCTTGCTTTGCTCCTCTTCTCTTGGCTAGCCTTTAATGCCAAATTTTTCTTCTTGGTGGAAGAAGAGTCATCTTGTGGAGTGATGTGCATGTACATCTCATGTGCATTGATCTTTCCTAATATTTGAGTTGGTGTAGCGGTAGAAAGATCACCTTGATGAAGCACCGTCACAATATGCCCATATTTGTTAATGGGGAGGACACTCAAAATCTTTCTTACAACATTGGAGGGTTGCATTTGTGTGAGTCCAAGTCCATTGACTTCCTCTACAAGAACATTCAAGCGTGAATACATCTCATTTGCACTATCTCTAGGAAGCATCTCAAATGAATTAAGCTTTTTCATCACAAGGTGGTAGCGTTCTCACGCTCACTCTTGGTTCCCTCATGGAGCACACAAATGTCCGACAATAGTGCATGGGCGTCTTTGTGGTTCCACATACGGTTAAAAACATTCTTGTAAAGGCCTATAAAGAGGGTGTTTCTAGCCTTTGCATTCCACTTTTCGTAGTTAACCTCATCGCCTTGAAGGTTGGCGGGATCCTTAGGTTTTGAGAAGCCTTGTGAGGCGGCTCTAAGAACTCCAACATCTAAAGCCTCTATGTATGTCTCTATGCGAATTTTTCAATAAGGAAAATCATCTCCGTCAAAGATAGGAGGGAGTCCATCCCCGTGGGACATCTTGCTCCCTAATTTATGGAGCACGAGGCTCCGATACCAATTGAAAGGATCAAGATGCCCAAGAGGGGGTGAATTGGGATAATTCTAAATTTTTACAATAATTAAGCCCTACACTTAGCCCATTTCATCCCTTGTGTCTAAAATGTGTTTCTATTATTCTCCCATACAAAAGTTTTGCACCTTAGGTTTCAATCCTACTCTAGCATGGCAATTCTAGGAATGTAAAGACATGAAATGAATTGCTCAAATATAAATGCTCAAAGTAAAGAGAGGGAAAGTAACACGGCGATATTTTTTCAATGTATCGGAGAGTCGCCACTCCCCACTAGTCCTTGTTGGAGCACTCGCGCAAGGGTGTAGCTCCCCTTGATCCGCGCAAGGATTAAGTGCTCTCTACGGACTGATTCTTTAACACTCCGTCGTGGTGAATCGCCCACAACCACTTACAAAGTGACTTGGGTCATCCACACGCTCCACAGGATGATTACAAAGCTCCCAATCACCACCGAGTCGTCTAGGTAATGGCGATCACCAAGAGTAACAAGCACAAACTCTCACTTGACCAAGACAAGCCTAATGAGTAAGGTGGATGCACACTTGCTACTCACTTGCACTAATGAGGTCATTAATCTTGAATTATCAAATCTCAATCACCCTATTAGGCTCTTACTCTCCCTTGCACTCCAAAGGAGATTCTCAGCTGAACAAATGGGCAAAAGACCTCAAATGAACGGGTGGGATATGTATTTATACCCCCCATTCAAAATATAACGGTTGAGGTCCAACTCAGTAAATATCGGGATGATCGGACGCTCCGGTCAAAGTGACCGGACGCACCGGTCAGTGTAATATGTCAGCGTGTCAGAAAGAGCCGTTTGCTCTAACCGGACTCGGGCCTACTTCCGGTCAGCACCCACCGGACGCGTCCAGTCATCAAAAACCCTCTCTGGAACTTTACTGATATTGACCAAACGCTGGCACCCAGAGTCCGGTCACTTCTCTGTTCAGCGTCCGGTCCATGGTCAACGGCCTGTCCACGCTGCTACAGATACGGCTATCGTCGCGTCCGGTGAGCACTGGTGTCCAGCGTCCGGTCGCACTCTGACAGCTGCTGCCGATCAAATAAACTGACCGGACTCTCCAAGCTGTGTCCGGTCACAACCAAATCAACGTCCGGTCAGTCATTTAACTCTCCATTCACTTGCTATTCGAAATTCTTTGTGAATGAAGTTGACTTCTATCGATCTTAGGGCTATTCCTGAGCTACCTAGTGCTAAGTTTGATAAGTGTGTACCACACCTAATCCATTAGACTCACCTAGGTTAAACTACTACTCCATTACCCCCTTAATAGTATAGCCAAAGGAAAAATAAAGTCCTAAACTACTCTAAGTGTCTCCCCTACACCAAACAATATTTAGAACTAGTCTGTCCTTAACCTTGTTGTCTATCCTTTGAAAACCAAAACGATTTTTATCGATAGAGGCATGACAATCAGGATTGCCCAATCAATTTTCATTACCATGACCTAACTCAAATCGCCTCTGCAAAACACACATTAGTCATAGTAATCTCGTGTCATCATTAATCACCGAAACCCAGCCGGGGACCTAGATGTTTTCAAACTTGTTTGTCCGGATCTCTCGTGACACTAATGTGCAAGACTCATTTATTCTAGGATATTGTATTGTCCCTCTCAAAAAAAAGGTATTGTATTGTCGGATAAGGATAATGATTTGCAGGTTCCACAAACTGTCCGATGAACTAGAGCGAATTTCCACAATTTTCAAGTTAAATATCCTCACCTCAAAGGCTCAAAAGCACACAGCTAGTATACTTTCAATACAGAGTATTTATTCTGTGTTCTGCTTTTACAGCTGAAAAAACTCCTGTGTACATCCCTTTGGCTTGTATAGTTCACACACGAGAAATGTTGCAAAAGATGGGGAAAAAATTGCAGAAGAGGCTGCTATCTGGGTATTATTTCTTCTTTCGGATTCTATACAAACACAAGAATGAATGTATAGCTTCTTTTCTTCTGTACCGATGTAGATAGAATAAAAAAATGCGAAACGACAGCCGAAGGCATGCAGTATGGCTAACTGAAGTTAATAGAAAAGGTTTTCGGTGGTCACTCAGTATATTCGCTCAGCTGTGGAGACGGGGCGAAGAAACACAACAATGACAGTGATATTGTCTTTGCTGCCCCGCTCTGCAGCCTCCGTGGCCAACCTCTTGGAGCACATTCCAGGCTCTTTAACTGTGTCCTTGATTATCGACAGCACATCCTCGTTGCTTACCATATCCCATAGGCCATCACTAGCCATCACCTGCATACAGGAAATTGAATGAAGTTATTGTGAATCTCAGATACTTTACTTCGGTGAATCGCTTGATATTTGCTGAATAATCAACACCAAAGTGGTGCAGGAATTCTGTGGCAATCATTTATTCTTTTAAAAAGATGGCAATTATTTCAAAGAGCAGTTTGATGTAATGTAAGCGAGGAACACAATAATACACTTAAGAGCATTATATCCAATGAGTTTCATATCCAATTAATCATCAAGAGAAGTGTATATGCCCCTTCAATGGATATCATGAGTTAACAAAGCTAAGTAAACAATTCAATGGATATCATGAGTAAACAAAGCTAAGTAAACAAGGTATTTCTGAAAATTCAAAGTGCACATCCACATGCTTTGATTTGACAAGTGCTCCCAGTCTGGTGGGTGGTGGCATTTAAATTAGTTTAATAAGTATTGGATTATGACAGAAAGTGATTTCAGGTGGGGACTGGCAATTACTGTCTTTTCATGAGCACCTGGTCAGATTCAAAATCAGAATTTAAGATGGACAAATCAAACCCATTAGGAAGGGAACTGTTAGAGGATGCTGTGTACACGTGTGTCCATGAGCTTAGAGCCAGGCGTGTACAGCCGGCCTGCCCAGTCAATATGGTTAGTGTGCATGGGTTTAGAGCTAGGCATGTACAACCAGCCTGCCCAGTCAATGTGGTTAGTCTGTTAGAGAGTCTGAGGTGATCCTTGATTGGTGGTGTTTCTATAAACCACAGGATCTGGTCTCCTCAGCATATATGTGTAATACGGCTCTCCTCTAATCAATTGAACCATTCCACACAATCTCTTTTAGGAACCAATATAATAGCACCTCTGGTCATAGACTTTTTACAAAACCAGCTCCAGGTAATATTTCAATAACCATTTCATAACATTGGTGTCCATTGGAATTTGGGATGATGTGAAATATCCAATAACAACATTTTGTACCCTATAACTTTAGAAGAAGATTGATATAGGAAAATTAGCATGATAACCAATAATCATTTATTCTACAATTGTTTAATCACTCCACTTGATAAATTTAATATTTAATAGAGTGGTATCAAGCTGGACATTGTCAGAAGTAAGCTAGTTCCCCATATACCTCACGCTGAACTATGTAAAGAATGCAATCAGAACTTACCATTTTCATTATTGATAACATTTATTATGGAAAAATATGTTAGCCCACAGGATCACCGGCTCAAATGAGTGAATCACTCACCAGCCTTGCCGAGCACCCGCTAGTGTTGCCGAGCACCCACTAGCTAAGCCGACCACGAACAAGCGTTGTCCGTCCCCACACACTATGGCTAGAGGTTGAAGAAGAGGAAGAACAGAACATACACACACAGTACAAGACACCAGCGTTGGCCGAAGCCCTGTATGGGAGATGGCAAATCTGAACTCTCTTTACTGAGTTGCCGTGATAGTCTATTTATACAATTCTATCCATCTAATCCTAGTACAGCGCACATGCTGCAACAGTAATTAGATAACACAGCAGGACTGACTTCTGCGCCTGTCTCTGCATGTGGCTACAGTGCGACAGGTGAGCCGTTCGGCGCCTGCCTCTACAACGGCTACAGTACCACAGCAGGGAGCCTTTTCGGCGCCGCATTCCCTTGCTGTGTGTTCACACAAGGAAGTAGTAGATTATTCTAACAATTCTTTCCCTAATCCTATTGCTATCCCTTGTACCCCCTTCATGCCGATCATCTCGTTCAGCTCTGTGAGTCGAAGACGTCCGAGCGGCTTGGTGAGGACGTCCGCGAGTTGCCGACCAGTTTCGACGAACTCGATGACGATCTGCCCTCCATCGACACAGTCCCTGGGGAAGTGAAACTCCACGTCGATGTGTTTGCTCCGGTCGTGCAGAACCGGATTCTTCTCGAGGGCGATGGCGGGCTGGTTGTCCACCATCAGTGCTGGTGGGTGAGCTTCCGCACCGGTCAGCTCGCCCAACAGCCGGCGCAGCCACACAACTTGGCACGCCGCTGTGGCCACCGCTACGTACTCTGCCTCGCACGTAGATAGCGCCACCACCTTCTGTTTCAGCGATAGCCATGAAATTGGGACCGACCCGAGGAAGACAAGCACGCCAGAGGTGCTCTGTCGTCCATCGATGTCCCCCCGCCATGTCTGCATCGCTGAACACAGTGAACTGTAACCTACTCCCGCCGGTTTTGGGAAAGATGATCCCTTAATCCACCGTCCCCTTGACGTAGCGCAGTAGCCGCTTCACCGCAGCCCAATGATCCTCTCTGGGATCCTCCATGAAGCGACTGACGTAGCCCACGGCGAACGCAATGTCCGGCCTCGTGTGGACTAGGTAGCGCAGACCGCCGACGATGCTCCGGTAGAGTGTTGCATCCACCTTCGCCGCGGTGCTGGCCTTCGTCAGCTTCAGCCGCTCCTCCATCAGAGTCACGCATGGCTTGCACTCAGCCATGCCGCTCCACTCCAACAGCTTGGAGGCATATGCGCTCTGACCGAGCGTGAGTTCCTCCTTCCCCTGTCTCACCTCGATGCCGAGGTAGTAGGAGAGTGCGCCGAGATCGCTCATTCAAAAACGAGCAGCCATCTCGCGCTTGAAGCTATTGATGTCCTCCGTGCGCACGCCGGTGACGATTAAGTCATCCACATACACGCCGACGACGAGCTCCTCCTTCCCCCGTCGTCGCGTGTAGAGCGAGTGCTCGGTTGCGCACCGCTGAAACCCAAGCTCGCCCAGCGTGACGTCAAGGTTGGCGTTCCATGCTCATGGGGCCTGCCGCAGCCCGTAGAGCGCCTTGCACAGTCAGAGCACTCTGTGCTCCTCTCCCTTGACGGCGAAACCTGGAGGTTGCCTGACAAAGACCGTCTCCGCTAGCTCGCCGTTGAGGAAAGCCGATTTAACGTCCAAGTGATGGACGCGTCAGTCCTTTGCTGCTACCAAGGCTAGTAGCAAACGGACCGACTCTATGCGCGCTATTGGCGCAAAGACTTCCTCGAAGTCTATGCAGTCGCGCTGAACAAAGCCTCGGGCGACAAGGCGCGCCTTGTGCTTGACGATGGCGCCGAACTCGTCCCGCTTGACCTTGTACACCCACTTCAGGCTGATCGGACGGCATCCTGGAGGTGGATCGACGAGCTGCCATGTCTTGTTTTCCTCGATCGCCTTCATCTCCTCCAGCATCGCCCGTCGCCAGTTTCCGTCGCGCTCCGCTAGCGCGAACGTGGGTGGTTCCTCTGCATTGACGAGCAGCAGCTCTTGATCATTGAGCAGCCGACCAGCCAGTCCTAAGGGCCTTGTGCCGCCGACGATGTCGTCCAGCCTACGGAACCGCACCTCCTCACCTTCGTGGAAGGCATCCACGAACTCAATGATGTCACTTGAAGGTGAGGCGAACTCAATCGGCATCGATGGAGTTCCCTGTTCCGCCGGAGTGCTCGGCACAGCACCTTGAGTGCTCGGCACCCTAGTTGCAGTGCTCGGCAATACTTCTGGACAGCTCGTCACTACTCCTGCAGTGCTCGGCACCACTGTAGGAGTGCTTAGCCTCAGTCTTGGAGTGGTCGGCACCACTGCAAGACCTCTTGGCTCCGCCACGGGAGTGCTCGGCACCCGTCCTGGAGTGGTCGCCATCACTACATAACCTCCCGGCACCACTCCTAGCGTGCTCGGCATCCCTCCAAGAGTGCTCGGCACTCCTCCCTGAGTGCTCGGCATCCCTACCGAAGTGCTCGGCTCTGCCGCTGGAGTGCTCGGCACTCCTTCCAGAGTGCTCGGCACCTCTTCCCTAGCGTTTCCACCACCGTGGATGACCAGGTGCTCGACGACAAAGGTATTGGTGAAGCCGCCATCTTCCCCCGTGCTCGGACCGCTCCAGTCCCAAGCTGCCTTCTCGTCGAACATGACGTCACGCGAGACAAGCACCTTATCTCCGCATGGGTCGTAGAGCCGGTACGCCTTGGTACCCTCCGCGTAGCCCAGGAACACCATCGGTGTGCTCCTGTCCTCCAGCTTAGTGAGGCTCGGCTTCGTCTTCCTGACGTGGCCGATGCAGCCGAATGTCCAAAGGAAGGACACGCTCGGCTTGCGCCCATACCAAGCATCGAACGGCGTCTTGCCCGTCAGGGACTTGATCGGAGCGCGGTTGAGGATGAACACCGCCGTGGTCACTGCCTCACCCAGAACCTTACCGGCATGCCTTTGGCCTTCATCATGGATCGGGCCATGCCGACCACCGTCTGGTTCCGTCGCTCCACCACGTCATTGTGTTGTGGCGAGTACGGAGCGGTGTGGTGTCGCACCACACCCTGATCCGCGTAGTACGCAGCGAACTCCACCGAAGTGAATTCGCCACCGCGATCAGTCCTCAGCACGCGGAGCTTCTTGCCATTCTCGGCCTCCGCGCGCATCTTGAACTTCTTGATCGCCGCCGCCGCTTCGTCCTTGCTCGTCAGGAGTTTTAGCCACATGTAGCGATTGCAATCATCCACGAGCAAGAGAAAGTACCACCGACCACCGTTTGTAGCTGGCGTGATCGGCCCGTAGAGGTCGTCGTGGACGAGCTCGAGAGCATTCTTCGCGCGATACTTGGCCGCCTTCGGTAATGGTAGCCTCCTCCTCTTCCCAGCCAGGCAGCTGTCACACAGCTCGCCTCCGTGCTTGATGTGGGGTAGCCCTCGGACCATCTTCTCCAGCTGACCAAGCGCGTCAAAGCTGAGATGTCCGAACCGGGCATGCCACATCCACGGTTCCTCGGTGTGCCTTGCCGCCAGATACACCGGCTGCTCTACCTTCAGGTCGAGCAGATACAACCGGTTTAGGGACCTCTTCACCTTGGCGAGAAGTCGCTGCTCCCGGTCTCTGATCCTAAGGACTCCGTCGTTGATCAGTACCTCGCTACCGCGCTCATCTAGCTGACCAATGTTGATGATGCTGGAACGCAGCTGCGGGATGTAATATACATCCGTTAGCGCGCAGTGCTCCCCGTTCTGGCACCTGAAGATGATGGTGCCGCGCCGTTGGATAGCCACCCTTGAGCCGTCACCAAACTTCACCGTACCGGTAACATCGTCGTCGAGCTCGGAGAAGGATGCCTTGGAGCCCGTCATGTGGTTGCTGACACCAGAGTCCACATACCACCGCTGCTCCTAGTCGGCGCCCACACGTCCGAGGTGGACTTGGGCGCGTGGTTTGTTGAGGTTGACAGCCTTCAGAGCCTTCTCAGGTCCTTCCACCGTCGTCGCCTCTTCCCTCTCCTCGGCCTCGACGTCGTGCAATGCACAAAACGTCGCCATCAGGATAGTGGCCTCATCATCATCAGCAGCTTGCCAAATGAGCCTCAGCCTTCTTCTCCTGCTTGAGATTTGGGTACTCCCGTGCCCAATGGCCCATCTTCTCGCAGCGCCGACAGGCATTGGGGTCAACCTGCTTCTTCTCCGAAGAAGCCTTGCCGCGGTGCTTGCCATCGCCACCGCGGCTGGAGGAGGCTGCCTTCCCGAAGTTCCTCCGAGCAGCCCACTCTTCTGTCAGCAGCAGTTTGCCGCTGTCCTTCGTCGCTGTCGCTTGCTCCAGGCGCTCGTTCACCGCCCACAGACGACCTGTCACATCCTCAATGGTGAGGGTGGACAAGTCCAGCATCGTCTCTATGGAGAGAGCAATCTGAATGTACTTTGCCGGTACGGAGTAGAGGTACTTGGAGACTGCTCCTCTTCGTCGATGGTGACGCCATGGCTCTTCAGCTTGTTGATGAGCGTCTGCAGGCGAAGAGAGAAGTCATCCACAGTTTCACCATCCTTGAACTTGAGGTTGGCGTACTCCTGCTTCAGAAGCTGGGTCATCGCCTTCTTTGCACGGTCAGAACCGACGCGCATCGCCGCAATAGTCTCCCACGTCTCCTTAGCAGAGCTCTTCGCCCCCAACGGCTCCCTGTACTCCGCCGGTACAGCAGCGAGGATAGCCTCCAACGCTGACATGTCATCTTACTCATTGTCGGTGCCCTTATCAACAGCATTCCAGAGCCATCGGGCTCTGAGCTTGAACTTTATGGTCACCGACCATTCTCCATAGTTGGTGCGAGTTAGCGTCGGCCAACTGGTGCCGCTGACCTCCCGCACCGTGCGAACAACGACCTCCGGTCGTGGCTGGGCAGCCACAGCAGTGCCACTGTTGTCGCCCATTTCCGAACCGCCCGTCATCGCCAGCGGTTAGTCTAGCGACAGCGCTTGTACGGCTTTGATACCGCTTGTTAGCCCACAGGATCACCGGCTCAGGTGAGTGAACCACTCACCAGTCTTGCCGAGCACCCGCTATTATTGCCGAGCACCCGCTAGTGTTGCCGAGCACCCACTAGCTAAGCCGACCACGAACAAGCGTTGTCCGTCCCCACACACTATGGCTAGAGCTTGAAGAAGAGGGAGAACAGAGCATACACACACAGTACAAGACACCAGTGTTGACCGAAGCCCTGTATGGGAGATGGCAAATCTAAACTCTCTTTACTGAGTTGCCGTGATAATCTATCTATACAACTCTATCCATCTAGTCCTAGTGCAGCGTACATGCCGCAACAGTAACTAGATAACACAGCAGGACTGACTTCTGTGCCTGTCCCTGCATGTGGCTACAGTGCGGCAGGTGAGCCGTTCGACGCCTGCCTCTGCAACGGCTACAGTACCACAGCGGGAAGCCTTTTCGGTGCCGCCTTCCCTTACTGTGTGTTTACACAAGGAAGCAGTAGATTATTCTAACAAAATAACTTACCTATTATCTAAATACCCTCCATACAGCATTGTGCACATCAAAAAAGAAAGAAAATCTTTATTTTACATGGAAGTATGAAATCTAAAGAGGTAATTTGTCTCTCAATATACTCTATTATCAGACAACAAAAAGAGTGGGTGGCAAAATACTCTCCACTCTGAAATAAGAAAAATGCTCCTGTTCCAATTCAATACAAGCTAAAAAACTAAAATAGCTCATTGTACCTCATTGATTAATAATTAATATAAGAAACTGCAGAGAGCAACGTATTATCATAAGAAAATAGAACCTACCAGGAACTCATCATCAGCTGATAAAGCAGTTTCAATAACCTCAGGTTGTGCTGTGACTGCTGGCTTGAGGTCATCATCACCAATTGACCTTGTAACCTGTTAGAAAAAGCCTCATTTCTATAAACAAAAATTTCAATCTTTTAAGCAAGCATCATTTTTAAGCAATTAGAGTAGCAGACTCCAGCGCAGCATCATTTATACTACTTACTGGCTACTGCCACAAGTCACAAAAGTGACAGAGAAAAAAAGATGGAACATTTTTCTGATGACCTCAGTTCCTGTAACTAATCAATTCATCTCTAGTTTGGGGATGCACAGAAAAAAAATGAATGGAGGACTTAATTCCTGATGATATAACGTAACTTAAGGAGTTAATTCACTTATTATTCTCGGAGATTGGACTATTTGGAATCATCGCAATGGGTGTGTTTTTGATGGAGCAGCCCCAAATTTAGCTAGTGCTCTAATCTTAGCCAGCGAGGAACGCCGCTTGTGGTCTATGGCAGGGGCTCGAGGGCTATCTTTCTTGACTGCCCTCCTCCCCGGTAGTTAGAGTGTCTAGCTAAGCAGTGGTCGTCTTATATGGTTATGTCACCGGCACGATTGTAATCCTTCAAACTGTTGGGGCGTGAGTGTGTGTGTGGTGTGTGAGGTGTTGTTTGGGCTCTTGCCCTTTAATCTCTTCTTAATATAATGAAGCGCAGCTCTCCTTCGTTTTCGAGAGAGAGAAAATGACATAACGTAACACAAAACTAGTGGAATGCTGAGGTGACGAGATTTAAGAGATGTGTATGGACTTTTTAAGCAAAATATATTAGAGTTGAAGCCCAAAGCACCATTAAAAATTCATATAGCTGTAGAAAACATCCTGGAGTAAATCAAACTTTATAACTTTGCTAATCATGTGATGGAATGATGTAGAAGTCTTCCTTGATTCATATAATCTTGTGTGGTATGAGCTAAAGGTTTACCATGCATGAAGTATAGTTCCATTGCTAAATACCAAATACCAACTATTCATGTGACCAATAGGAGCACAGTGGCTCATTAGTTTTCTTTTTACCAGAAGTGCACAGATAATTCAATACTTTGACCAAACAAGTTGCAAGGTAATGACCAAGCAGTCAAGCACCATCTTAAAACTGAGAGAGGGGACAAGTAAATTTACAAAAAAACTTATTAGAAAGCAATAATAGAAAAGTGACTGTTTGCAACATGGTCACAAAAGAGCACTTGCTTCATGGATGAACAATTGAACAAAAAAGATTTTGCCAGTTTCTTGCCGACCATGGGGCGTGGTCGAGTCGGTACATGGCAAGAAGGGTCAATTTGAGCACCTGAAGAGCAGCTGAACCCACTCGCCAAGTATCTATTTGCCATTTTACTTCTGTTCCTGCCTTTGTTACTCGTTCTCTTTCATTTGGACAACTAGCGACATGATCCTATAACAATAAATTGAAAATAAAGTTGTGCAAGAGATGGCATACTACCAAAAAAAATGTAGTAATGATATAGAAAGGTTAATCCCAACCATGGTCAACGGAAATGGTTTGCCATTACGGCTCAAGATTGCTCGGCAATCACCAGCATTTGCTACAAAAAGCTTGTTCCTCACTATCAGGGCTGTTACTGCCGTGCAACCAGGATGCCAGTCTTTTTGGATTATCCTTTTTGACTTTCGGTGAAGAATTAGTTCTTCTCGAAATGCTATGTCAGTCCTTACAAATGCTTCTGAAAGGGCGTCAGTTGGGCTGCAAAATGCCAGAACTCAGATCGATACATGGCAAACATTTTAGATTGTTTGCATTCAATACAAACTGACAAACCTTGCACCCTGACCAAATTGCTTGAGAAATCCAGGGACTGCTCGGACAGAAAATTCAGCAGCTGCTGAACCTGTGAAAAGTTTTTTTTGTAAGAAATGCTAATGTAAAAGCTAGCAAAGATCAACCAAACTATGTGTTTTGACTAGCGAACCTCTGTGGCCATCAAAAATGCCAAAGGCAAAAACATCCTTTTCTTCACTCATATGGGGAAGCACAAAATGGGTATCTTCCATAGTTTCCCTTCGACCACATGTTGCAAAAGAGCCCCAACTTAATGTTGGATGATACTCTGAGGACTGATCGAAACAACCAGACCAAAGATTCTTAAGATCTGATCTACTTGATCTCTTAACAAAAAGCTCCCCTTAGTTGAACCAGTTCAATGCTTCTTGGTAATGGTGCACTTCTATGGTACCATTTTGACTCTTGCTCACAGCAGATGATGGAACGGAAGCATTTGAAACTAAATGCTTTTGAACTGTATTTAGCTCATCAATTATATCTTCAAATGATGGTCTCTTTTCAGGATCAGGATCCCAGCAACGCTGGATAAGTGACAAAAGAGTTGGTGGGGCACCAGATTCAGGAAGGGCAAGTGCTGGACGCAATCCTTGAGAAACAATTGCTGCTGTAAGTTGTTGTTCAGTACATGTCATTTCAAGAACAGTGTGTGCCTAAACAAAATATGGCCAATGGTCACTTCTAGATAAAAAAAAATGGATCTGCAATGTTAACTACAGTGAACTGTATATGGATAGAATTGAACTAATAAATGCATAAACCAAGTAAAACACACTTGAAGTTAAATATTCTAAAGGTTCCATAGTAAATCAAATTTCAACATATTAGAATAGGAACTATTCACTGATTGTTATAACCACAATAAGCAAATTTCTAACTGCAGCTGAATGGCAAAGCAATTATGATAACCTTTTCTGCTAGGCATTATGGAATACATTATATTATAGAATGATTGTCGCTCATAATCAATCAGATGAACTTTTACAACAAAATTGCATTAAACAGGAGAACACTTTAACAAACCCACAGAGAACATAAAAGAACAATTAAATACCTGTGCTTCTGCTCTAAGATCTGTATAAGGCACCACACCAGTAAGAAGCTCACTGTAAGTTATTGAAACGGAGGGGAAGTGTTAAAACATCATGACTAATGATGCTAGCAGAATACTTTGCCTTGTACTGAATGAATTGTCACATGTACAATGATGCAACATAGTTGAATATTCTAGCAAAACCTCTTGCCCATCACATCATAACTAATGGTTAAAATGGATTTACTGTTTGAAGTACACAGCTATGTTAGACTACCCAGAGCATAATCAGTGCTGAAAAAAAAATCACCGTACGCCACCTCATACCAATGCCAGGAACTATACAAGTCACAGTGTTCGCATTGATGCATCTAGGTACATGGGACCCAAATTTGTCAGAACCATCCCCTTGCTTCTAGAGCCATTCATGACCTGAGGACCTGCTGAAAAATACTTTTTATATGTCTAGCATCGAGGAAAGAACATGACTCAAGGCTTGTGATTTTTGGTTCAGCATCGGAAGATGACACGAGTCTTGTGATTTTTGGTTTAGCATCGGTTTGCACAATGGGAGACCTAGATGCTTCAACGTTATCTCTCCTCTTTCAGCATTGGGAAAAAAAACAACGTTGTGGCTTCAAGCAAATTCACTGGGAGTGCGGTGGTTGGTCACCGAGTTGTGTTACCAGCCAGTCAGTGTTTAAGTCCTGGGGAAAACTCACTGTGACACCCCAAAAAATAGTGGCAGGGTGGTTTGGCTGTGGTTTCTTCTCAGTGCAAAGCCGTGAGGTGGCCTTTTCCCCACTGGTTGAATTTTTTTATGTAGTTCAATCAGTTCCATGTCCCTTCCACAAATCTCATCATCGGTGGAATTGCATAGAAGAGGCAATGACATCAATGCTGTTAAGGTATAATAGTCAGGGGTATTAGTGTAATCACCTAGTCTAGGGTTTCCCTCTTGTGTCCCTCATCTACTCTATACATAGTCCTCATTGGGCCTCAATCCCATTATCCAATTCAGCCACTCTTATCTGTAACCTGTAACATGGTACAAATGCATGCAACCTGGATCAAATTATCAAACACCTGGTTGCATTCTAGGGTTCCAGGTAGACACAGACATGGTGGCGAAGAATTTCTGGCAAGTCACTGATATGGTAATACTGCTGTAGTTATTTATTCTCAAACACTATAGTAGCACCTCTTGTTCACATAAATTAAAAAAGTAAGCTTCAAAACAAAATTCGAAAATGTAGTATCATTGAATGTGTATCAACATGCCAATATCACTGTAAGCTACCCCCCCCAAAAAAAAGATGTATAATGTATGTCATGTATACAACAAGAGAATTTATCTTATGTGTGTGAATATGGATTGATTGCACATGTCAAAGAAGTGTTCTGTAGGCAAAAGTGTCAAACACATGTTGCACACGGGTTATGTAACTCTCCATGTACTTAGTCTATATGAAATAAGCGACTTCCTCGGCTACAGATATGGCACCTGTGTCAGATCAACCATTTTCCTATAAGCAGGTGAAATTACTGCTGTTACATGACATTGTATCAACAACAGAAACACTGCAGAAATAACATATGCTGTACTGTTGTGGTGAAGTTGCTGAATAGGACGATGTCATTTTACATTCAATTCTAGAGGAGAGATGCCTTACTTGATAGATATTGCAAAGCTATATACATCAGACTTTTCTGTATGTATATCCTTTCTCAAAATTTCTGGTGCCATGTAAATTAGTGTCCCAACCATATTCTTTTTATGGAAACCACCAGTGGGCTTGCCAGATGATTTCCAGTTCTCAACTGAAACATGCTTAATATCCTTTTGAAACATGGCTAAGCCAAAATCTGCTAGATGTGGATGGAGGTCTTTGTCTAGCTGTACAAAGTTATAAGCTTCCATAAATGTATGGAAAAAGATGGAAACCTGTTTGCTGAGAATTACATGATTCTACACAGATATAAGAAAAATGCTTGCACATACCAAAATATTTGCAGGTTTTATATCTCTGTGTACTACCCCTAGGATTTGTAGGTATTGGAGAGCCTTTGCTGCAAAAAATATCGTGCAAAATGGTATGAAACTAGTAATTTTCGACTGTTCGAATAACAGATATGTAACTCAAACAATATTAAGCAGGACATTGCCACCTAGCAAGGATAAACAATATTCATGCATGTGCTATTATTTTCCAATCAGACGACAGCTGATGCTTCTTTGAATTAGAACCAATACTTGGTCCAGGAACTTTAAGCTGACAATATCTTTTGTCTTTATACCCAAACTTTGGCAACACTATTTTTCCTTAATCCTTAGCGATTCATTTGCCAATACAAATATAGTTTATTTTTGTGCATCGCCATGGCATTGTCTTGTTTACATTGCACTAAACCACATTGAATTAGGCAATTATAATAGTGAAAGTTTTAGTTGACCACAATGAAGTACCAAAACTTTTGAAATATATAAGGGTATGAAAAAAAGTAGGCTAGATTCTGAAATTCCTGTGGATCAGAAATAACAGGTGCAACTACAACTACTTGTGTGTTTGAGGGGGCTAACAGATTTAGTCCCCCGTCAAAATGAAAGGAGCTTTGCAGATTGGTGGCGCAAGACGATGAGAAGAGTAAAATAGGAGCACAAAAAAGGAGTGAACACTCTAATTATTCTTGGCACCTGGACTATTTGGAAACATAGAAACGCTTGTGTGTTCGAGGGGCTTCTCCTTCTGTTAACACAATTTTGTGTGAACTGAAGGATGAGCACGGCTTATGGGGCATGGCTGGTGCGAAGAAACTGCAGGGGTTAGGACTTACTTCGCAATCTAGGGCAGTTGAGTCGTGTGTGTTAGCTATGTGGAAAAGTTGAGTCTGTGTAATTGCCTCACTCATATTTGGTCCCCGTATGAGTGAGTATCCTGTTGAGGACCACCCATTCTCTTTAATACAATGAAATGCAGCTCTCCTGCGTTTTAAAAAAAAAAAGCATAATCAAATGAGCAAATAAACTCCGCCTATGTTGTCTCAACATAGCAGGTCCCAAGCCCTGGTAAAGGAGCAGGGTTGTGATAGGCGTGGCGAGCCAACGTTAAATCTAGCCATTCTAATGGAGATGAAACCCGATAGAAAACCGTTGGGGCGTAACCCTCTTAGCGACGTGCCATATCGGAACCCAGGTATGGTGTTAAATGGGCAAGGGCCGGGTCGGCACCCCCTTGGTGACGCGCCGTGTCGTGATCTGGACATGGTGTCAAGTGAGCAAGGATCGGGTCGTCGTTTCCTTAGTGGCGCGCTACATCGGCGCCCGGGTGTAGTGAAAAATGAGCATGGGTCTTCACATCTAAGTCGACGGGTGCGAAAGGTAAGGAAGCTAGTCGAACCAACTAGGATCCGTTTAGGTAGTTGGAATGTAAGGTCGCTAAAAGGTAAGTTAAGAGAATTAGTTGATACCACGACTAGGAGGCTTGTAAATATATTATGCGTTCAAGAGACTAAATGGAAGGGTCAGAAGACGAAAGAGGTGGACAATATAGGTTTCAACCTTTGGTACACAGGGACAGTCGCGAATAGAAATGGAGTAGGAGTTTTGATTGATAAGAGCCTCAAGAATGGTGTGGTGGGAGTGAGAAGGCAAGGAGATAGGATTATCTTAATCAAGCTTGTCGTTGGTGATATGGTCTTGAACGAAATTAGTGCGTATGCCCCCCAAGTAGACCTCGACGAGAGTGCTAAGAGACAGTTCTGGGAAAACTTAGATGGCCTGATTAGAGCTGTACCTAGTAGTGAGAAGTTTTTTATAGGAGGAGATCTTAATAGGCATGTAAGTACTACAAGTGCAGGTTTCGAGGCAGTTCATGGAGGTTTTGGGTATAGTAGTATGAATCAGGAGGGGGAGGAAGTTCTGGACTTCGCAGTAGTTTTTGACCTGATGATAGCCAACACTTTCTTTAGAAAGAGAAAATCTCATCTAGTGACCTTCAGTAGCGGACAACACTCTAGCCAGGTTGACTTTGTCCTCGCAAGAAGAAAGAACAAACGAGCATGCTTGGGTTGCAAGGTGATACCAGGGGAGTGTGTTGCTTTTCAATATAAGCTTTTGGTGGCAGACTTTCGTTTCCAGGTGCGTGCCCGTATGGATAAACAAGCTAAGATTAAAAGAACAAAGTGATGGAAACTGAAAGGGGAGACGTCAGAGGTATTCAGGGAAAGGGTTATCAAAGAGAGCTCTTGGAAGAAAGAAGAGGACATAAACAACATGTGGGAGAAGATGGCAACCAACATTCGGAAAGTGGCCTCAGAGGTGTGTGGAGTAACCAAAGGAAGTGGAGGCGAGGCTAAAGATACTTGATGGTAGAACGAGGAACTCCAAAGGGCTATTAAGGAGAAGAAAGAATGCTATAGACGCTTGTACCATGACAGGAGTGTGGACAACATAGAGAAGTATAAGGTGGCAAAGAAGACTACAAAGCGAGCTGTAAGTGTGGCAAATGGTAGAGCGTATGAGGATCTTTACCAACATTTGGGTACGAAAGGAGAGAAGGACATTTATAGGATGGCTAGGGTTCGTGAGAAAAAGACAAAGGACTTCAACCAAGTTAAGTGCATTAAGGATGAAAGGGAGCATCTTTTGGTGAAGGAGGATGAGATCTGACATCGATGGCAAGAGTATTTTGACAAATTGTTCAATGATGAAAATACGGACACAACCTTTCAGTTGGATGACTCTTTTGATGACACCAATAGACGCATTGTGCGGAGAATCCAAGAATCTGAGGTTAGAGAGGCGTTGAAAAGGATGAAAGGAGACAAGGCGATGGGACCAGATGGTATCCCAAACGGAGTGTGGAGATGCCTCGGAAACATAGCTATAGTATGGCTAAACAAGCTGTTCAACTATATTTTTCGATCGAACAATATGCCTGACGAGTAGAGAAGTATATTGGTACCGATCTAATGTGCATGGCAGGTGTATGGTATGTTCGGATTTAGTTCCTGGTAGGGCTGTTCACGGATTGGTTGCAAACCACTCAAACCAGCAAACCAGCCCAGACCAAACCGCAAAGGAGGATGGTTTGGGTCGACCCGTCTAAAAAACTGTTGGACCCGTCGTCTTCCTCATACGCCAAATCTGAGCTGTAAGATCCATCGTTCGTCAACCATGGAAGCCATTTTCTTAATAAGACGAGTTATGGAGCGGTATAGGGAGAAGAAGAAGGACCTACATATGGTTTTTATTGACTTGGAGAAGGCTTATGATAAAATACCAAGGAATGTTATGTGGTGGGCTTTGGACAAACATACAGTCCCAACGAAGTACGTCGGGCTCATTAAGGGCATGTACAACAATGTTGTGACCAGTGTTCGAACAAGTGATGGAGACACGGATGACTTTCCGATTAGGATAGGACTACATCAAGGGTCAGCTTTAAGCCCTTATCTGTTTGCCTTAGTGATGGATGAGGTCACAAGAGACATACAAGGAGACATCCCTTGGTGTATGCTTTTCGCGAACGATGTAGTGCTAGTTGATGAAAGCCGGACAGGAGTGAATCAGAAACTAGAGTTATGGCGGGAGACTTTGGAGTCCAAAGGTTTTAGACTCAGTAGAACTAAAACTTGATGGATAAGTCTCATGTGTGGTCTTTGTGGGGCTGTACTACTCACATGGTCCTTGTGGCTGTTTTTCTGCTTTTAGGACAGCATCTTAGACTACAGGACAACATCTTAGCTAGGACAGCATATTAGCATCTTAGACTAGCATCTTGGCATATGCTTGGCTGGCTAGCAGCCTATAAATATGTAACCCCAACCCCTCAGGTTGGCATGGCATTTGAGTAAGAAATAGACAAGAAAATTGCCCCAACTCCTAGTGTCATCCTCTCGATGAGAGTAAGAATTCTCCTACTACCAAGAGTGAGAATTCAGCGACTAACAAGTGGTATCGAGCAGATTATCCTCAGAGCTTTGAGCATCTCCTGCTCATCTCCCTCCCCACCCACTAATAGCCCAGTGCGGCAAATAGCCCGGCCGCGCTCGGCTCACACTCCCAGCAGATGAGCGGCTCGTCAAGTAGCCCTCTCCCACGCAGCAGCCCCCCAGTAGCGCGTCATGTCCGCAGGCGATCTCGGCCTTCGGTCGCCTCGAGCAGCCTGTGGCGTCGGCAGGAGGCCGAACTTGCTGCTTGGCAGGAACGCGAAGCGAAGCGACGGCAGAGATTGGCGGCGGGCGGTAAGGGCGCGAGGTCGGCGGCGGAGCGGCAAAGCAGCCAGAGCGAGGCGGAAGCGGCGGCGGCGGCGGCGAATGCTGCGCGGCGGCGGCAATGAGGTCGAGGTTTCTGCTGGCAAAGATCGGCAGCTCCATTTCGGCGACGACACCGCCGACGCGGACCTCTCGAGCTGCTAGAGGGAGGCGGCAGAAGGCTGGCGGCATGATGGGCAGCCGCGACGCCACGAAGCGTGGCAAAGAGCAGCCGAGACAGCGCGGACGCGCTGGCGGCGCTCTCGAGGAGCGCGCGACGGCGGTGGCGCTCACAGGGCAGCAGCGCGACGCCACGATCGCGGGCGGCAGCTGCAGACAGCAGCGGACGCGCCGGCGCGCTCTGGAGAAGGCGCGCGACGGCGGCGCGCTCTCGGAGGAGGAGGCGCGACGGCAATGGTGGCGACGGGTCGATGGAGAGCGCGGCCTTTCACGGTGCGCGGCTCTCTCTCCGGATCGGTACCGACGGGTCGATGGAGAGCGTGGCCTTCACAGCGGCGTGGCTCTCTCTCCCGGATCGGTACCATGGTTACCACGGGCTCCAGTCGTTGTCGGGACGCCGGTCCCGGCGGTGGGTGGCCTACCCTCACCAAGACCAACTACGCCGAGTGGGCTGCGGTGATGAGGGTAAAGCTCAGTGCGGCACATGTGGGAGGCAGTCCGGTACGGCGACGTCGACTACGACCTAGATCGACGGGCGCTGGATGCGCTCATCGCCGCGATCCCCGCCGAGATGCGATTCTCGCTTACAAAGAAGCGGATCGCCAAGGAGGCTTGGGACGCCATCGCTGCACGCACGCATCAGCGTGACCGCGCCCGCAAGTCCACACTGTAGGCACTTCGCAAGGAGTGGGAGAACCTGGCCTTCAAGCCAGGTGAGGACGTTGATGACTTTGCTCTCCGTCTCAACACTCTGTTGCAGAAGATGGTGCAGTTCGGCGACGACACTTACGGCGAGGAGAGAGCTGTCGAAAAGCTCTTCCGCTGCGTCCCCGAGAAGTACAGGCAGATGGCTCGCTCGATCGAGTCTCTGCTGGATCTCTCCACGATGTCGATCGAGGAGGCGATAGGTCGCCTCAAGGTCGCCGGACAGCCGATGAGCCTGATCCCTCTCGGGGCCCATCACCATCTGGCGGGAAGCTCCTTCTCACTCGGGAGCGGTGGCTTGCCGCCTGTGGTGATCGGAGGAAGGGGAGCCTTCTTCCGCGACAGCGACATAAGCGTGGCAAGTAAGCGCAAGGCGCGCAGAGACGACGCCAGTGGGCGCGAGGACGCGCCGAGGGTGATGCCCGTGGAGGCGCCAGCGGCGGCGCCGCCGGCAGTACAAGCCAAGACGAGATTTAACACCGCCGCAAGCGCGGCGCGGCTTTGGCCGTTGGGCCAAGGATCGTCGACAACCACGACGCTGCAGCCCACGCCGTCGACAAAGTGAGGAGGAGGAACCGGCTCTGTTCATGGCACATGCCAAGATCGAGCTACCTCCGGTGCACCGCCGCAGCGGTTCTCCTCCACCTTGACGAGCCAAAAGCACATGCCCTCCTCGGCGGCGGCCCGCAACGACAAGATCGACGGGTAGTGCTCGACACCGGCGCCACCCATCACATGACCGGTCGACGGAGTTCTTCACCGAGCTTGACTCTAGCGCCCGAGGCTCCGTCAAGTTTGGGGATGCCTCCGGCAGAGATCAAGGCGTCGGCTCCGTCATCTTCTTCGCTGCTGTGTCCGGTGAGCACAGTCGCTCACCGAGTCTACTACATCCCCGCGTTGAGGAACTCCATCATCGCCTTGGGACATTTGGATGAGAATGGTTCGCGTGGTGGTTGAGGATGGAGTCATGAGGATTTGGGATCGCCGTCGCCGCCTTCTTGCCAAGGTATCCGAAGCGCAAATCGACTACATCCTTAACGCAGGTGGCACAACCCTCCGTCTCGCCGCTTGTCGGGATGACGAGGCGTGGCGAGGCACGAGCGCTTGGGCACCTTTCACTTCGAGGCCCAGGCGGCTCGGTGCCACGGAGATGGTGCGAGGCCTGCCGTGCCTCGACCATGTGGAGCAGCTCTGCGACGTCTACGTGTTGTTGGCGGGCAGGCGACTTCTTTCCACAATGGGCTAGCTTTCGAGCCAAGGAGAGGCTCGAGCTTGTGCACGGGGACTTGTGGCCGGTGACACCGCCACACCGGAGGACGACACTACTTCGCTGCTCGTCGGCGACACCTCTCCCGCTACATGTGGGTGATGGTCCTCGGCAAAGCAAAGGAGAGGCTCATGACGCCATCAGCGCAGCAGCAGTCGCTGTCAAGGAGGCGGAGCGCGGCCGCAAGTCAAGCTGCAGCGTCTTCTTGCAAGACCGACAATGGCGGCGAATTCACGGCGGCTGAATTCGCGCGTCATCTTGCGGCGAGGGAGTATTGGCGCCACTACTCTGCGCCCGTACCAGACAGCAGCAGCAAAGCAGAACGGCGCTGCCGAGCGGCGCAACCGCAGACGGTTGTGGGGATGGCTTGGGCCCCTCCTCAAGCGAGAGGGGATGCCGGCTGTCTTCCGGGGAGGCGGTGGTGATGGCCGTCTACATCCTCAACGCTTCGCCTACCTAAGACGCTTCGACGGCGGGGACGCCCGACGAGGCTTGGCATGGGCGCAAGCCGGCGGTCTCCCACCTGCGGGTCTTCGGCTACCTCGCGTTTGCCAAGGAGCTTGGCCACATCAGCAAGCTCGACGACAGGAGCACTCCGGGAGTGTTCATCGGCTACGCGGAGGGCTCGAAGGCCTACCGCATCCTCGACCCGAAGACACAGCGTGTGCGCACGACGCGCGACGTTGTGCTCGACGAAGGGCGAGGATGGGCGTGGGACAAGGCGGTGGACGATGGCTCGGCTCCGACGTACGACGACTTCACTGTCGAGTACGTCCACTTCGAGGGAGCTGGGGGAGTAGGCAGCTCTTCTTCGGCGAGCGCGTCTACCCCAGTCCCCGAGCCTCCGCCGACCCCGGCGCTGCTACTCGACAAAGACCACACGCTCTCCGGCCAGACCTCGGTTGCGATGAGTTCTTCGCCGGCTCCACCACGGCCCGGCAACGCCACGCACTCCAAAGATCGGCAGCACCTCTCCGCACGTCTACTCCGGCTCGTGTCGAGCACGGCCGGTTGAGCTCGCCATCTCGCTCTCTCACGACGAGAGCGGCGCATCGACAGCGATACCACTGCACGGCGAGCCATTGCGGTACCGTACGATGGAGAACATTCTCGGCGACCAACCGGTGCCGGGACCGGTGCCTCACGACCTGGAGGCGCAGTTGCACCTTGCGTGTGACGACGGCGAGCCTCGGTCGTATGCAGAGGCCGAGAGACACGCGGCATGGCGCGCCGCGATGCAGTTGGAGATGGATGCGGTTGAGAAGAACCGCACCTGGGAGCTTGTTGACCTTCCTCGTGGTCACCGCGCGATCACCCTTAAGTGGGTGTACAAGCTGAAGAGGGATGAAGCCGGTGCCATCGTCAAGCACAAGGCTCGCTTGGTGGCACGAGGTTTCGTGCAGCAGGAGGAGGTCGACTTCGACGACGCCTTTGCTCCCGTGGCACGGATGGAGTCCGTGCGACTCCTCCTTGCGCTAGCTGCCCAGGAGGGCTGGCGTGTTCATCACATGGACGTCAAGTCGGCGTTCCTTAACGGCGACTTGAAGGAGGAGGTCTACGTGCACCAGCCGCCAGGATTTGCGATCCCCGGCAAGGAGGGCAAGGTGCTCCGCCTGCGCAAGGCCCTCTATGGCTTGCGGCAGGCACCGAGGGCGTGGAATGCCAAGTTGGATTCCACGCTAAAGGGGATGGGCTTCGAGCAAAGCCCGCACGAGGCGGCCATCTACCGACGGGGCAGTGGAGGAACTGCTCTGCTGGTGGGTGTCTACGTCGACGACTTGGTGATCACCGGCACCAAGGATGCGGAGGTGGCGGCATTCAAGGAAGAGATGAAGGCCACCTTCCAGATGAGTGACCTGGGGCCTCTCTCCTTCTACCTGGGCATCGAGGTGCACCAGAATGACTCCGGGATCACACTTCGACAGACCGCCTACGCCAAGCGCGTCGTTGAGCTAGCTGGGCTCACCGACTGCAACCCAGCTCTCACTCCGATGGAGGAGAGGCTGAAGTTGAGCCGCGACAGCACGACGGAGGAGGTGGACGCTACGCAGTACCGGCGTCTTGTGGGGAGCCTTCGCTACCTCGCCCACACACGGCCGGACTTGGCATTCTCCGTCGGCTACGTTAGTCGGTTCATGCAGCGACCGACGACGGAGCACCAGCAGGCTGTGAAGAGGATCATCCGCTATGTTGCGGGGACTCTCGACCACGGCCTCTACTACCCGAGGTGCCCTGGGGCGGCACACTTCGTCGGGTACAGCGACAGCGACCACGCCGGCGACATCGACACCAGCAAGAGCACGAGCGGGATCCTCTTCTTCCTCGGCAAGTGCCTCGTTAGCTGGCAGTCGGTCAAGCAGCAGGTGGTGGCCCTGTCCAGCTGCGAGGCCGAGTACATAGCGGCCTCCACCGCTTCGACTCAGGCGCTCTGGCTCGCTCGACTGCTTGGTGATCTCCTCGGCAGAGACACTAGAGCGGTGGAGCTCAGGGTGGACAGCAAGTCCGCTCTGGCCCTGGCAAAGAACCCCGTGTTCCACGAACGCAGCAAGCACATCCGGGTGAGGTACCACTTCATCCGAGGCTGTTTGGAGGAAGGGAGCATCAAGGCGAGCTACATCAACACCAAGGACCAGCTTGCGGACCTGCTCACCAAGCCCCTTGGGAGGATCAAGTTCCTTGAGCTCTGCTCCAGGACCGGGATGGTTCAACTCTCCCACAAGACGACGCACAAGACTTAGGGGGAGAATGATGGATAAGTCTCATGTGTGGTCTTTGTGGGGCTGTACTGCTCACATGATCCTTGTGGCTGTTTTTCTGCTTTTAGGACAGCATCTTATACTAGAGGACAGCATCTTAGCTAGGACAGGACAACATCTTAGCTAGGACAGCATATTAGCATCTTAGACTAGCATCTTAGACTAGCATCTTGGCATATGCTTGGCTGGCTAGCAGCCTATAAATATGTAACCCCAACCCCTCAGGTTGGCATGGCATTTGAGTAAGAAATAGACAAGAAAATTGCCCCAACTCCTAGTGTCATCCTCTCGATGAGAGTAAGAATTCTCCTACTACAAGAGTGAGAATTCAGCGACTAACAAAACTGAGTATATAAGATATGACTTCGGCACTACTACTCGGGAGGAGGAAGATATTAGTTTGGAAGATCAAGTAGTGTCTAGGAATGATACCTTTCGATATTTAGAATCAATGCTACAGAGAGACGGGGATATTGATGAAGATATTAGCCATAGAATCAAAGCAGGGTGGATGAAGTGACGCCAAGCATCTGGTGTCCTATGTGACAAAAGGGTACCACAGAAGCTAAAAGGTAAGTTTTATAGGACGGCGATTAGACCTGCTATGTTGTATGGTGCAGAATGTTGGCCTACGAAAAGACGACATGTTCAACAGATAAGTGTCGCAGAAATGCGTATGTTGTGTTCGATTTGCGGTCATACAAGAAGGAATCGAGTTCGGAACGATGATATACGTGATAGATTAGAGGTAGCACCAATTGAAGAAAAGCTTGTTAAACACCGGTTGAGATGGTTTGGATATGTCCAACGGAGACCTCCAAAGGCACCAGTGCGTAGTGGAATCCTAAGCCAGGATAGTAACGTTAATAGAGGCAGAGGAAGACCGAAGTTGACTTGGGTAGAGACAATAAAATGAGACTTGAAAGGATGGAATATACCCAAAGACTTAGCCTTAGATAGGAGTGCTTGGAAAACAGCTATTCACGTGCCTGAACCTTGATTGCTTCTGCTGGGTTTCAACTCTAGCCTACCCCAACTTGTTTGGGACTTAAAGGCTTTGTTGTTGTCGTTGTTGTAATCAAATGAGCAAATAAAAAAAAAGCCTTTACAGAGAAGTGAGCAAGGTTGAAGCAGATCGAATTTCAAGAGCATGAAGACAGAAACCATATTATGACAACCTATCATCGTTTCATAGACATTCTGCTTGTAGCATGCTCGAAAGTACCATTTACGCAAGCTTGTTAAATTAGATCCTCAGATAGAACAGTCTCCAGTTTCAACATTATAAGTCCTATAGTAACCCCTAAGGTATATACTTATTTTGATAT